GGAGGAGGAAGAAGAGGGAGAGGAGGAGGAGGAGGAGGAAGAGGAGGAGGAGGAGGAGAGGAGGAGGAGGAGGAGGAGGATCGAGAAGGAGGAGGACCTTTTGGACCTTTTGCGCAGCACAGCGTGCTAAAAAGAGGAGGGGAAAACAGAGGGAGGAGGCCAAGCACCTGCACCCAAAGTGGCTACTCCGTAGCAGCCACCCCCAGCGCCTCCTCCTCCCCGCAAGGGGAAGAAGGAACGTGGGAGGGTACAGGGCTTGCCCTCCTGGCACGCTGTGCTGTCTCCCCGGCGACGCAAGCGTCCACTAACCTCGCATGCGAAATCGCTTGCGAGGCCTTAGACGGCCCCGCATAGCTCGGAAACAGCCCGCGTTTAATTCGGCCGAGATTCTCACGGCCTTTGCGAGTGGGGGGCTCGCAACCTTCGGCCAAATGGCGACCGTCAACGGCCGCGGTCCGACCACATCTAAAACAAAAATGCAAAGAATGCAGGTCCCAGAATCCCAGACGGTGGGAGGGGTCGAGCTCCAGCCCACCAACAGCGACGCCACCGCGAGCCGCGGCCACCACGTCCCGAGGAAACCCAGGAGGGACGACCAGCGGCGAAAAGCACTCCGTCTTCAGGGCCTCTAAGAGGCCCTGCCGGGACGAAAGAACAGAGCACAGTTGGCACCTGAAGCGGGACCCGACTGGAATAAACCTGCGAGAGCTGGCCCTGGCAGCGTGCTCGAGGCGTCGGGTGACCCGACGCGGCCGACACTCAAACGCGGCGAAGCTCTAGCTACTCGCGCACGCAGAAAAGCTGCTCGCTCAATGAAAAAAGCCACGCTCGCAGGAAAGCTGCTCGCCCACAGGGCACGGCTACATTTCGGCTTTTCTTGGGCGGAATTATGCGAAGGGGGGGGTCAGTTTATGCCGCGGCCTCCTCAGTCGGGTCTCGGCGGTCTTCGGCCTAGGCCGCTCGACCTCCGTCGAGGCCTTGGACCGCTTGGGATCCGCCGAAGAAGCGTCCGCCAGAGCCCGCCGAGCACGTCGACGCACCAGGGCAGCAGTGAGGTCCCAAGCGTCTGTGGCGGGGACTGTCTGGGCGGCCAAGGTCCAGGAGCGCTCAGCGGCTTCAGAAGCCGCTTCATCGGCTAACTGATTACCGCTGGCAAGAAAAACTTCATGATGGGAGAGGGAGGAGTCGTCAGGGGACAGGTGCGAGGGCGTCCATTCGACCGAGACATGCCCTGGGCCTCGGTCGTCGATGGCGCAACGAATTCGCAGCCACAAATCGCTGTTCCTCCCCCCCAAACTCCAAGGTCGGCCCCGACTCCACCCCGTCATGAGAGGCTTGTGGTCAGTCACAAAATGGACAGGACCTGTGGTGCCTTCCAGGAAGAGTGCGAAAGCCTGCAGCTCCGACCTGGGCACCGTTTGCGAAGGGCCTCGCAAAATCTCGGAGATGCCCCCCAAGACGGCCCAACGCAAAGGTCCCTCCCCAGGTCGCGCGTCCCTGACCACTACAACAGCGGAGCCACACCGACGGCGACGAGGGTCGGACGAAAAGCGTCCTCCAGATCCGTCCCCGAAGCCGATCAACGGGCTACTGCCAGGGTCTCTAGAGCAGGCTCCAAGAGGGACCTCACCAAGTTGGGCTCTGCTCAGGCTCTCCAACGGCTCCCTGAACACAGGGTGGGTGACACGGGTAGGCGGAACACCTCTCAGCCAAAGGCTTGGTTCAGATTCAACAGACGCTAACGCTTGCGGAATCAAATGATCAGTAGACGTAAAATCACTGTGGTCTTTATTGCAGGGGCAACGCCAAATGCGATGCGCAAGAGTTTCTTCCTCCTGCTGGCATCGCGGACACAGGCGGTCTGCGGGCTCGCTCAGAGGGCGCTGCCTGTCCATCGTCCACTGGGCGCCCGTGACCACGCACAAATTGAGGCCGAACAGGTCGAGCTCCCCCCTCTTGGCGAAGTGGCTGAGCTCCAGCCTGGCCCAATAGAGGTCAGCTCCTTCAGCCAGGCCATCCCCTGCAATGTGCTTCGAAGCATTGCTCCAAAGTTGAGCGCGAAAATCAGTGACCACGTCGTCCAGTAGCTCGGAGATGTCGAAACCAGTGGGGTCGTAGCCTGCACGACGTGCGGTTGGAATCAGCCACTCCTCGATTCCTCCGACAGTGGGTCTCCTCCAACGGAGGACCGAGGGTACTTCCCATCCCGCGTCAAGCAGGGTCGCAATAACAGCTCCAATAGGTCCTTTGACCAGTCTCCATCTCTTGCTGGCGCCAGCTGCGAGAAGCCGCCGATGAATGACAGTCCAAGCATTTTCAACTCGATGGTGAATGCTGGTGTCGGTCTTCCAGAGACAGAGAAATTCTGAAAGAAGGCCTCGACGTAACTCCAGGGCTGGATCCTTGAGACCGTAAAGGACCGCCAGTGTTGTCGTAAGACACCTGCCCTTCATGGGCCCAGCTCCCGCCACGGCTGCCTGCCGCCTGACGGCGAGGACGTTGGACGGCGACATGCCATGGGCCTGGTGTCCGTAGGAGCCTTGAGGAGCTGCGCCTGTGGTCCAAAGACCTTGAGCTTCGCGTCGTAGAGGAGCATGTCTGCGTATGCGGGCAATGCGAGCCGCCCTCCTCTTGCTGGCGGTCAACCTCATTCTGGCCTTAGTGACTGTGCGCCGTTTGCCAGATGCCGCATCAATGCCAAGATCCGTGCCGTGAAGGCCGAACCGTACAGGGATACCTCGCTTCTGCAAATGAGCGGCTGTCCTCCTCCCGTCCTGCGGAACAGTGGCAATGAGTACAGACTTGTCCGAAAGCTTAAGACGGAATTGCTTGGCGAGGTCGGCAAGAGTGACCGTGGCGTGAAGGATCTCTGTTTGGACCTTGGCCTGCGTGCCCTCTGCGCGGGCAACCGTGTCGTCGATGAATGTCCAGAAGGTGCTGAAACTCGCTCTGCGATGTGCCGCCTCCATCAATGGATGTAAAAACAACTTGGCAATCCTTACCCCATGCGGGGATCCTGCAACGAGTGATCTGGTGGCGTAGATGGCGTCTGCAACGCCAAGAGAGCCACGCAAGAACCGCGGCCCAGCACACATCTCCAGCTCCAGTAGCACCACAATCGCTGGGAACTTGAGATCGAGTGCAGCCTGGCCGATGAGGATCCAGGATAACGAGTCGTAGAACTTCTCGAAGTCCAGGAGTAGGGTCGCCGCCGAGATGCCAAGCGCCACTGCGGATTCATCGAGC